ACAAACAAGTGTCCATACATCTAGGCGGCCCCGCCTGGGTTTTTGAAGAAGTGGCCGGCTGCTTCTCAGCCGCCACTGTTTTCCTGGAAGACCCAGGAGAGCTTGCAACAGTCGTTCTCCGGGCCTTGGGGTCCGGCTGTTGCGAGGAAGAAGCCCTTGGAGTGCCAGACTGAAAACAAAAAGAGTTGGTATATGCATAATACAACTTAAAGGGGAAGAGTTTTCAAAGCTTACCAAGGGTGCCTCCTTGCTGGGGGAGTCGGCGTACGACTGCTTCATTAGCGAAACCCGCAGCATGGCCGCCGCAGTCTTAGATGCTGTTATTTTACTCATGGCGTCGGCTGAAAGAAATAAACAGCAAAGTTAGTAAAAATCCCAAGTAAACAAGGCGTGAGAAAACAGAGTATTCGTCAGGCCGGCTACCTCTAGAGCACCGACTGCCGAGGCCACAGGCGGCCAAGAAGTACTCATCATAGAGCCACTTGAAGCTCGGGACGCAGTGTAGGGGTACTTGCTCTCGTACCCCTGAAGTAGAGTTCACCCTAGTCTCTACTTTGAAGAGTCCTTTGTCTAGGATCTCTCTTTTAGCCTTTGGGGGAACAGGCGGCATGCTGCGGCCGCCTGCAAGAAGAGGCGGATCCCTGTTCCACTTGTTAAAACGTTTGTTCAGCTCCGTGTCTGAACTCTCGATAATAAGGAAGGTGTTCCGCCAATCCTTCCATTTGTTTGCCTTACCTCTCGTCATGAGGTAACCCCTGTGGCTTGTTAGTTGATACCAGCCGGTACCTCCCGACTTAGGGGTCCGGCTGAGATAGTTCATGTGGGCGAAAGCCTCAAAACTTGGCTCCACCCCGTTCAGTTCGCACCCGGCCACATAGCCGAGTACGTTTACCCAAGAGTTGGGGGCTAACTGCCATAACCCCAGATCATACCCATCTAAAATCCGCTGAACAGCCGGATGTAATGGGAAGCGCAGACCAGCTTTGATGGCCGCCACATAGCAGCCAAAACAGCCGTCACCATAGCTGGTACCAGCCGGCCAGACGACAGTATCTTCTGGATCCGGCACAAACAGTAAATACTCCGGGCCCATTTTGTGGTTAGCAATAAAGCTCGCCACGTTGTCTCGCATGGTTGCGATCCGGCCCCGGGGCACCCTGCAGTAGTAGGGGGTGTTTTCCTCTCTGTAAGAGGCGGACGGCTCTGCCCAATTATCCCCCTTCTCCACTGCATGGGAACTTCTCGCCTCTTGTAGGCGGTTATGTTTTTCTTCTGAGTCAGAAGAACTATGGTCAGAAGAGCTGGAATCGGACTCGTCCCCTGACGAGTCCGAAGAGGACGACTCCTCCCCTCTCCTAGAGGGGCCCGCCTCCTCTCCCTTAGAAGGAGCAGAAGGTAAATTGGACATGTCCACGGTTAGATGAGAAGGGAACACCTTGGTCCCTCTCTCAGAACTGTCAGCTTGACAGTCGCCTCGTTCCACATCTGGCGCCTGGTCAGATGTTTCGCTAAGGAGTACCCTTTGGGAGGAGCCGTCTGAGTTTGATATTCTAGCAGTCTTTTTTGTTCTGGCCATCACGTTCTGCATAGACACAGATTCAGTCGGACTTTGTATAAAGGGCAAAGATGGGTCCAGAAAAGGGCAGGCGGCACTCCTAGTCCTAGATTCAGCCGTCCCCGGTGACCGGCTGATCACTAACTTAGGGCGTGTCGTGTGCTTCCATGGTGCCATTTCAAAAAATAAAAAGAAAATTAAGAGTAAGAGAACTGAGTTACCTGAACGGATGACAGTTGATGAAGTCCTGAAAGTTCGGGTCAGTCGGCTTGTCAGAACAGGCGGTAGGCAGAAAAAGTCCGAAAATGTCAGAGCAAGTTCAGGGGTCCGAATGTTCTCGCAAAAATTCTCAAATGTGAAAATGACCGAAGTCAGCACTTCCTTTTATAGGCAAAATGAGAAGGCGAAGGGTCGCCTCCGAATTCAAATTTGGGCGGGAGAGTCTCCCGGCCGTCTGCAAGGTGACACCTGTAACGGGCCGTCGCCTGTCACCGTGCGACACCTGTCACAGGCGACACGTGACCAGTCGCGTGCCACCTGTGAGGGGCAAATGATTAGGGGATTTTTATCCACCAAGCGCCGTTTGACAAGTGGACCAACCAGGTTCCGCCACGCGTCCTCCACGGACCACTTAAGACACGCCACGTGTCCACCCATGCCAAATGGGACAACCGGCCATCAAGGCCCATTTCAGTCTAGAAGCCCGATCGGCCCTAGGTTTACCTTAAACCTAGAGAGTTGCACGCTTCCCAAGGCTATAAATACTCGATTAATCCTCATTAATCAAGGGACCGAATTTTTTACGGAACACACTAATAACCGGCTGATCTCGCTAGCAAAGCAGATTACCTACATTAAATACTCTCACCTAGAGAGACCTTATTACTTTAATTTCTGTATTAATTACTCCTTAATCAGGTACTAACTTGACCGTTGGAGGCGGAGCTCTCAGGAGTCTCCGTTATTTTGCAGGTACAGGCGTCCGGTTCCAGTCTCGGAATTGTAACTCTCCCGCAGGACATCAGAAAACCCCGAAACAGTTATCAATGCTACCGCTACATCTACTATTACTACTAACAAGTAACAACAACAAAATAGGTAAGTTTTTTTGAAGAAATAATAATAATGACATAAAAACAGGCAAGTGGTACATAAAACACTTATACAAGTAGATTGAAGATAGAAAGAGGACCACTGAATTTGCATCTCTTTCAATAATTGCTATTATCACCAGTTCACCACTACACACGGACCGATTGCTATTATCACCAGTTCACCACTACACGCGGACCGTGTGTCTTCAAAAAATAACTCTTCTTCTTATCTTATCATTACCAATTTTAGTATAATGACAATTTGACTTCTATGGAGCTATGCTCATTTTTGGCAATTTTTTCTATGACCTTCTCTATGTTTTTAAGAGCTAATTTTTTCCTCTCATCTAAGATTTGCTCATAATATTTCGCATTTATTGTCCTACACAAACTTTTATATCGTGTGGCCAACCATTATGAAGGTTATTTTGTTAGTGCTATAGGGGTTACTCACTTGGTCATGGGTTATTAAGTCGGTCAGGGGTTACTCGGTCGGTTAGGAGTTACTTGGTCGATCAGAAATTACTTGGTAGGTCAGGGGTTACTCGGTCGATTGGGGGTTACTTATCGGTTAGGGGTTACTTGGTGTGTGTCAGTTGGTCATACGGTGTGGTCAGCCGCACACAAAAGTTGCTGATTATCCTATTGATTTTCGGCAAATTGGAGGAGAAGATTAACATAAATAAATTATCCATGCATATTTTAATAGGAGTAGGTAGTATAGAGTATATACGGAGTTTTAATTCAGGCGTTTTAATGCATAGTTTTGGCAAATAGGAGGAGAAAATTAACATACTCTCTCAGTTTCAAAGTAATCACCTTTATTCAATTTTCATATACAAACCTTTATGTAGTCTGAAATGGATGGATAGTAAAACTTCACCTCATTTTTTGCATGACTTTTGTCCTTGCTAAAAAATAAGGGTTTATTTGGTAATCATAACATATTTATTTTCTTATTTTATTTTTTGGTGTTTAAAGATCCACAAGGACAGGTGATGAAAATTGATCAAGAGAAAAGTTCTAACCACCTGAACTATAAATGATTGATATTTTTATTTCCTTATTAAGATATAGTAATTTTATACTCCATCAAATATTTATTGCCATCCTTATAAGCTTTTTTTAATTTTTTTGGATGATCCTTTTAAGCTAAATTTGGTTTGATTTCCAAATTATTAATAATCAATGACTCACATATCAGATTTTATCACCTTACACAAATTGAATCAATTAATGAAATTAATACTCCGTACCATAGTATAGAGTATATACGGAGTAGAGTGGCACGATGAACTAAGTGGTAGGTGTGTATATAATTATTTGTGGGGTGTGAAGTCCTGTATTAATTTATTAATTTATACCATAGTATATTCTGATTTCTGCACAATATCAAAGTTGTTTTCTTAAATACCCAAAAGTCAAAACAGTTATAGAGTGAAACAAAAAATAGAATCACCTTTTTCCTATTATCAAATAAGAACACTATAATTTATTTATTTAGGAAAAATAAAAATCATCAAAAGGAGGTATTCAAAAGCTTAGAAAATTTAAACAATGAAAATAAAGTTTGGTGGTAACAGTTCCATTAAATACTTCTTTTTATGTCTTACATGAAATGTGGAATTGACACCTTTAGGCTTAAGTGGACCACAAACACTTGATACATGCTCTATTAGTGTCCATTGAATACATACACATTATACTTGAATCCTATCTTCCTATCTCACTTCTAGTTTTAGCCACTCAACAAAAATTTAATGATGTATCCTTCAAATTGTAACAAACATCCTTTAGTTGATGATTTACGGACTTGGGAGTAACATACTAACATGTAAGATTATGTTATAACCAACTTGAAAACTCGATTTAAATCTGTTTGAAAGATGGAGTAAAATGTAAGATTTATAACCTGTTCAAAAACTTTATTCAAACCTACGTGAAATATAGTGTCTTGTGCAAGATTGTACCTAATCCGATAACTCTATTCAAACTTGTCCTAAAAAAAATTAGAGTAATGTATAAGATTGTAACCAAATTGAAAACTCATTTCAAAGTCAAAAAGATATTTAGGTTGTCCAATTGTAAATAATCCTAAAAAAAGACTCAAAAACCAATTTATATCAAACACTATTAACTCAACCCGACCAGCTAATTTGTAAGGTCTATGTAACATAAGAGTTTACAATATGTAGTTAATTCTTTCATTTTCCTACACATAAAATAAAATTGCTTACTAAACTTTGTCTCTAATATTAGATTAAGAAAGCAAAAGTTAAAATAAATTCATATATGCAATAAATTTAAATACTCAAAAGAACCAATTTGGTATCTTCTTTAAGAATCTGGCAAAAAACCCTCAAGAATGCTTAAATGAGGTACACTTGTTTATAGATAGAACAAAAGGACAACTGTCAATATTCAATATTTAGCTACTTCAAAGGAAAAATACAAAGGAGTAAACCAAAACTGCCACATAAAACATAAATAGTGCTACCTTGTCAGAGATATTTAGTTTTTGTAGACATAATACTCTCTTATTTGTTTCTTTATTTTATTCACAGATTATATAGCTCATTGCTTAACCTAAGATTAAAAATAAAAACCCAAAAAACAAGAAAGAAATCCAAGAATTTACAAAGAAAAAAAAAAAAAAAAAAAAAAGGTGAAAAACCAAAGATTTTAGGAGAAGGTACAAAATTTACATACAAGTTGTTGAGTTTGGTATTGTTTTATGGTCTAATGATCAAGCAGTATGAGTGTGGGTGTGATTAAAAGCTCTGTTTAATCTATCAAGTATGCCACTAGCTTTTCTCTTGGCCCTTGAAGTCCCGTCTTGTGCAAGCTGTGACAATGTCCCATACACGCGCTCCTCTTCGCGCAACTCTCTCAACTTAGACCTATCATTCACGCATATTGTATAGAGGATGGCGATGCAATTCTCCCTGTTTCGAGCACAAGAGCTTTCCCTCATTATGCTTAGTAAACATGGGACTGCCCCGAGATCAGACAGCTCCTCCACGGCCCTTTGATGAGTTGATAGCATTGCTAGAATTGCCAACAACTCATCGATGAGTACCCCATTCTTGATCTTCTTGAAAATCACCTGAACTGCTCCTTCACGGACGACCATTGTCTTATTTTCTTTAATAATGCATAGGTTGAATATAGCCGAGGCAGCATCCTTCACTGCCATTGGATGTCCTTCGTCTAAAAGTTCTATCAAAGGTTTTAATGCACCAGATTTCCCGATTAGGACCTTGTTCGAGTCAAGGGCAGACAGTGTGAAGAGGGCCGCAGCTGCATTGCTCCTTGTTTCCGGTGTTCCACATTGTAATGCATCTACTAGTATTGTAATCACCATAGGTGACTCTGCAACAACCTTCTTGTTGCTATCATGGATCGATATGTTCAATAGAGTTGTAATCAAGTCCTCTTGGAGATCAGGGAGAGTCATCTCATTACTCCCTGATGAAAAGGATCCTCGCCTTTGTGTCAAGGGTTTTAACAACCGAGGTATAGCCTCAGTTGATTCACCAAAAAGTGCACGAAATGAGGGCATCCGCTTGGTAAGGAGTCGGAGTTCTTTGGCTGCTGCCTTTTGCTCCCCAATGGACTTGGACATTTTATCAAGCAAAGCAGAAAAATAGTCTCGATCAGCCTCAGTGGCTCCTTCCTCATTTACATACCCAACAGTTTCGGGATTCTCTATCCCCCGGCTTTCACACCATTGATTGATCATTTCCCTAACCAAAAAATTTGTTGTTAGGAGCGAGTGTGAGAGTACTTGTTGCGTAATTGGACATACCCTATGTCCTGCTTTCAGCCACTTCTGGATGAACGGTCTGTCATAAGTCTGATACATATCAAACAGAACACAATTAGCAACATAAAAAAAGCAATATTATCCAAATTCTTCAAATGATTGATAACAAAAGGGATTTATCTAAAACAACAGTATCATACTTAAAGATTAAGCACATTAAAGATAAGCAGTATCATTCTTACGTCACAAATAAAGTACATAGTCCAAACCGCGACAAAATTGTTAATTAACTAAAGTGGATTAGGCTAATTACATTATTATATCAAAAAGGATAATTAAAGCAAGAATTACAGGAGACCAGGTTAGAAGGATTCGTGCACTAGGGTTTCCAGGGTTCTTAATATTATTTTAAATCAAAGAGAATTAAATCAAGAATTATAGGGACCAGTTATTAGACATTCTCCTATCAGGATTTTAAACAAATGCTGGAATGAAAATATTGAAATTTTTTCGAGCTAGACTATTTGGTAGCTATGTAATTTCAAATGGTGTTCAATGAAGAACAGATTAGTCATTTAGCATTTTTTTTTTTTTGGGTGTCAAAAACAAACAAATGCACTTAGTCAAACACTCAAGCCTATCATTAATCACTAGTGTAAATACTCAATAATAACCAGATGCACATAATCAACCTATAATTAATCACTAGTGTGATAGTGTATGACAAGACAATGACCGAGGATTTGTGTACGACAAGTCACAAATTCGAATTCCCATCTCCATTTATAATTTGCAATGGCCTTATGGCTCATTTGCAATGCCCTTATGGCTTATGTGGACCCCAAAAAACAGTAAATACTTTGTATATAATACTTCGTGCCAGTGTCTTCGATGTCAACTAGATTAGTCGATCAAAGACCATTAATCAAATCTAGACTGCATTAATCATCGCCGACAACCAAAAAAAAGGAATCATTAGTGTCACTAGTCAAAATCTCTGAATCACCCACCTAAAAAGAAGGTTGAAACTCTTCTCCAAATGACAAAAATTGAAGAATTCATACGACTCAATAGTGCACAATTCATTGTATAAAGCCAGAATTAGATGCTTGGCATTGAAATAAAGCTAACCATTACTTTACTTCCGACAAGAATCAGAATTTTTTTTTTCTTCACCGATAATGACACTTATGAAGCAAAAACCCAAAAAGCAAGTAATTCAATTTTTTTTTTTAAATCAAAATCAAATTAATAATGTGATAACAATTATAAAATCAAGATTAATTGGCAAACAATAATGAAAATAAAAACATTACAATTATTAACCAACAAAATAATACTTTACTTTATATTTAATTACGAAATTAAGCAATAATGATTATATATACTCAATTAATCAGTCAAAAAGAAATTAAATCAAACTAAATTAAATTAAAAAAAAATAACCTGGCCAGTAGAGATGATAACAGGATCTCGCATGAGTTGTTTAGAGAGAGGACAACGAAACTCAGAAGGACAAGAAGAGAAAGACCCATCATGTAAACGCAAAGACGACGTCGTTTTCTTCAATTTAGCCTCTTTTAAAGCAGAAAGAACATCTTTTGCTTTATCAATGGCGTCAACAACAGATGAAGAAGACGAATTACTTGAATTTGAAACACAATAATCATCATTACTATCATTATAATTAAGATGATTAATGTGATCTTCTTCTTCTAATATAGTTTTAACTAATAATCTAAGCTCTTTTTTCAACTCATTTACCCTAATTGTATCTCCCTCTGAAACTACCCCTGTTTTTGCCATCCAAAATTAAATTTCGCTTTTTTTAAAAAAAAAAAAAATTGAAACCCAGATCGAATCTCACACCCAATTGAATTGGGTGTTCATCAAAATTTAATCTTGGTGAGTAATTTTGTAGAATTTATAAAAATTAAAATTCAACTATACAAGAAAACAATTGTTTTTTTTTTTTTGGGGGGGGGGAGAAAAAAGAGAGAGTGTAGTGAGTTAAGGAATGGGGGCACGAGGAAAGGCAGAGTGAAGAAGGTGGGAATAATAAATAGTAAAAAGAAAAAGAAAAAAGGAAAATTAAATAATTCCTACAAAAAAAAAGGAAAATTAAATAAAAAAATTAAAAATATTATTTGGAGGAGAGAGAAAGAAAAATGGGACCCAAAAGCTCCACAATGCACGCCACCAAGGAATCCACAGGAGAGACCAGCTGGCTTTAACGCGGAGGAGATAGAGAGTGAGTGAGTCGACTCGTCTCCTACACTCTCTCACTTAAGATGATGACATCACTCTCTCTTGTTTTCTCTCTCTTGTGGACTTTGAAGAAGATAGTGAGGTTTTTTGGATCTACTTGAATGAATGAATTCCAAATGTTGTACTTAAGAATGAGTTTTATGAGAGTTTTCACCTAGATTTAGGGATTTTATTTAGGGTTTGATACAGATACTGGTCCTTTATTTCCTTTCATGTTTAAAATTACAAAATGTAATTTATTATTCGATCCTTGTTTGACTGGCTACTTGAATATCTAACTTAATCTGTTCGTCTTCCTTTATTTTCTTTCACATTTAAAATTACAAAATCTAATTAATGATTCGATCCTTGTTTGACAAACTACTTAAATATCTAACTTAATCTGTTCGTCACTTAATTTATCCGTTTTAAAAGCATACATTTAATTACTCCCTCCGACTTTTGATCTCTTAACATGCAAAGTTGACTTAATTCTTTTACTGTTACAGTAAAAAAAAAATACTACCATGTATTATTGTTGGATTAATCAAGAGATATAATTTGAATTTTTATATTTTTCACTGATTGGCAATTAAAGTTATTAGTGGTCAAATATGTGTCTCGGCAAATATATCGATCAGACTGTTGCATTAAAAAAAAAAAAAAAAAGGAGGAATTTATACTCTCTCTGATATTTCATACTTGCAATGATGAATTATACAAATAAGTTTGATCATGTTTTCTTCTTGGTTTAAATAAATCATAAATTATTGTGTAATGTACTGTACTGTTACACACTAGTTTTTCAAATATCAACATTTTACAAGTAATACAAATTGCATAGATTTATGGTCAAACTTTAACATTGTCAAGTATGTCGTCAATGTAACAAACTATGTAAGTATTCAGAAAAAGAGAGAATGATTTCAACACACTTAATTACACAAAAAATACTCCGTATAATCGTAACCATATACTTAAGATACTTTGACATCTCATGTTTTAGATAGAGTGGCTCTCAAGAGTATCAATAACTAAGATAATTGACATCTATAGTGATATTAGTAGATAGATATGGGGGCATAGTGGGGCAAATACACCCTAAAATTTACCCTTATGGCCTTGTCCCACTACCCATATTGGATATGATTTCTACCCTCATAAGAATCATAACCTATCCCCATCTAAATAATAAGGTCAAATGCGAGGTTGGTCTCTATTAAAACTCTCCTACGCCAGCAACATCCTTGCCCTAAAATATGTGTCAATCAAGACTCAAATCTACAATCATTGCTCGAAAAGCAGAGGATTCGTTACTGTTTAATCTATGAAAGTTTATTGCTCATTAGTTTATCACACCGACTATAATGTTAGTCACTTATTTTCATAACATTTGTAACTTATCATCAGTTATATTTTTCTCTGTCATCAAACCGGCCATTTTCTTACACCTATATTCCGTTAAAAAAAAGAACTTATATTACATACAAAGACCCGAGATATCATGCATGCATGCCAGCAACTATTTTTACTATTTTTACAACATACTCCGTAATATACTATTTTACAACATCCCTTAATATACTATTAATTCTCATAAATATAATTCCCCCCACTTATATTCAACAATTACACTAAATTTAAAACATTTAAATCTCATTTTACATGTAATGGCTGGCCATCAATAACTTGTGTCTTACGAAAGGTCATTTTAAATTTCTAAGTTCATCTCATTGTGTCTCTACATGTATGTAAATTAATGGCTATATATGATTTTGATATCCTTTACTCCGATTAATTAAAATTAGATGGGGGACAAGATACGAGTATGAAATTTAATGTATTTGATTATTTAACTATTAGGTCAGCATTTCATTCACTCTCTTAATTGATTTGGTTACTTGAATATAGATATGGGGTAAATCCTGAAAAAAAAAAGAAGAAGAATAAAATGAAAGATATGATCAGCATGGGGATAATTTACTTAATAAAGTCTTGAAAAATGCATACGATGATATTTATAAGGGCTAACATGGTGATTTATATATCTGTTGAGCCTTTTGGTTTTGATGGACAAATTGACAAACTCGACTAATGAATGTTTTGAGTCTTTGGTGAATAAAGGGTTCAAGCAAAGTTCGTTCCGGAGTAGGAACTTGGATGCGGAGTAGCATTCTCTAAAAAGCCTCATGCAAATCTCACGTTCTAGTTTTAACTGTGAGCACTCAATAATATAAAGTCGGAAAGGAACTCAATGACTTATGTTATTAAAAAGACTACTGGAATAAAAGTTAGTTTTAAAAGATAATTTCTTAAGGAAAAAGATAATTTATCAAAGTTTTATCTAGTCATCTAATTTCGAATAAAGATAATTATCGAAGATAATTATCTAGTTGTTTTAATATAAATAATTAATCTATCTTTTCAAATAAAATCCTTTTTAAAATAAAATCTTTTTAAAACGAACTTTTGATAAAGTTAGCAAGCAGTTTTCTTTGTGAAAATCTCTGATTATAAGGCTAATGTTTATCAAGTTGTTGAGATAGTGGATTAGTGAGATAAGGCTAGGAAACCTCTTCTTGATCACCATCTGTCAAAATAACTCCACAAGTTGTTAGTGGGGTGTTGGCATGTGGACGTGATTATAGTGGAGGTTAATGACTAAGCCTTCTCTATAAATACTCATGCAAACTATCTCAGAAAAACATAACTCTTGAGCATAAAAATTCCAGTAGCAACTTACTAACATAAAGAGAGTTATTTTTCTTCATATATTCTTGAGTGTAATAGGTATTTGTAATTACAGATTGTATTCAAGTACTTTGGGGTTGGGATTGTGAGTTTGTGTAAGGTGAGGTCAAGGAAGCTTCGCTGCTGAAGTCTTATGTGAGAGTTGGGAACAAGTTCCTAGTTTATGGAACTTGTTAACGGGTTTGAATCTTCACTTGTAAAGAGTTTGATTACATAGTGGAAATTTAGAAAAGCCTATATCTTCTCTCGTCATTATTTCATTTAGTTAAATTTCGCAAAAGTTTTTAGATTTCATCTCAAATACAATTCACCCCCCCCCTCTTGTATTAGCCAGTTAAACTTTCAGTTGATATCAGAGCGGGAACTCAGAGCACGCAGGCAACCCTGTTGAGTGAGTTCCTGGGAAAATGGCTTACACAGAGGAAAAGGAATTCGGGAGTACATCCATTCAAAGGCCTCCATACTTCAACGGCAAATATTATCCTTATTGGAAGGATAAGATGGAAATCTTTATCCAAGCAGAGAATTGTCAGGTATGGCGGATTATACAAGTCGGAGATTACGAAATTACGAAAACGAATGCTAACAATGAGGTAATCCCTAAACCTATGGATGAATATGAAAAAACTGATTTCGAAAAATTAGAAATGAATGCTACTGCCAAAAAGTTTCTAATTTGGGGACTTGGACCCGATGAACATACTCGTGTCAAAGGGTGCAAATCCGCAAAGGAAATTTGGGATCTTCTGGAAGTTACACATGAAGGAACGTCAGATGTTAAACGTTCCAAAATAGACATTCTTTTATCTCAGTATGAGCGCTTTGATGGGAAACAAAGAATCCATTAAAGACATGTTTACTCGATTTAAAAGTATTATTAACGAACTAACGTGTCTTGGTAAGATAATTTCTATAGATGAGCAGGTCAGAAAGGTCTTAAGAAGTCTTCCAGACAATGACAGATGGAGAGCAAAGGTTGCAGCTGTGCAGGAATCAAAAGACTTCACCCAGTTCAATCTGGAACAGCTTGCGGGTTCCCTCATTACCCACGAGATCCAGTCGAACAATCGGACTCAGGAGACTGTCAAAAGTCAAGGGCTAGCACTAAGAGCTAATGAAGAATCCGAAGAGAAGTCTGACATTGATGAAGAAGAAGCTGCAATGTTGGTGAGAAGGCTGAAAAAATTCTACCGTAACAACAAGTTTTTAGACAAGAAGAAAGGATACAGTAAAAGAAATCAGGAATCCAAAGCCACGTCTTCTTGTCACAAATGTGGAAGCACCAACCACTTCATCAAAGAGTGTCCATTATGGGAATCTGAGAAAGGCAAGGGAAAAGAAGCTGATCAAAACAGAAACTCCAAGCCTAACTTTTCTAAAACAAATTTCAGGAAAGCAATGATTTCCACGTGGGGAGAATCAAGTTCCGAAGAAGAGGAACAGGAACACACAGACGATGAAGTAGCCAATCTCTGTCTAATGGCAAAGCATGATGATGAGGTAGTCATTCAACCTAGTTATTTGAAATCTCTCTCAAAGGATAAATTAATCTCTTTATTGTTAGAAACCTTAGATGAATATAAAGAATTATGTGCAAAACTAAGGCAAGCCGAAAAGGCAACTGGAATTTGTAGAGATCATGTTAAGTATCTGAATAGCTTAAGAAATGATGTTCAAGGCAGATTCTTTGAATTGTTAGATAAAAATATTATGCTAAAAGAATCCCTTGAAAGAGTCAAGAGTGAGAATATCATGCTGAATATTGAATTAACTCAATATAAAATGTTGTGTACTAACATTGATTCTTGCAGGTCTACTGAAGTTCCTTTAATCATGTTTAATAATGAACTAGAGCATGTTAAGAAAGAGATAAAGGATACTAATGATAAAAATGAAAAACTAGAAAAGGACCTAGAAATTGCAAGAAAAATTAAAAATACAGCAAGCATGGGTGTTCCCAAGTGGGTAAAGGAAGCTCAGACAAAAAGAACAGAAGGTCTAGGCTATGTTCATAAGAATAAGTCCACTGGAAAGAAAAAGAAGTATGTGAATTTACCTAGTGAGACCGTTTGTTCTTTTTGTGGTAAAGAGGAACATCGCAGTGAAGAATGTACTAAGAAAGCAAATCTGTACAATAAGAATGTGAACTATGTTTGGCAGAAGAAATCTGATTCAAATGTGTCAACACAGGAACCCATGAATGAAAGGGTTCCTGCTACTAACCCTTAATTTCTTTTGCAGGTCGCAGTGAGGGGGAACAACCAGTGGTACCTCGATAGCGGTTGTTCTAAGCACATGACAGGAGATGAATCTAGATTTCTCTCACTA